ACCTTCCTATTTTCAAATAATAAACATATTTGAAATTGTTTACATCTTTTATATAAAAAAATATTTACAACACTACCAATGTTGTAGCAAATTTTCTTTTTGTTTTAATATAATGTCAAGAAAAGAGTTTTATTGTAATTTATCTTTATAACACTTTTTTAACTGACGCCTAATTTTCGACGAAAATATTTTACAAACAAATTTCATTTGTCAAGCCGTAAAATTAAACACAAACAGTTTTTTATATAAATGTACATTTTCTTAGTTAAATTTTTCACCAGTCAAATTTTATTCATAATCCAGAAAAAAAATTTCTCTGTAAAATATGTATGTGCAACATATAGTAAATCAACTAAATATAAAAATAAATTTTAGGCATAGTTAATAGTTTGAATCAGTGTTATGTTTGGGCCTTCGACGTGTAACTTCCAGTTCGCTAAAAACATAACATACAGGTTTTTATTAAAGAAAAAAAAAATTGAGAGCCTCCGGTGATTGTCCAGGTATTAAGATAGGCCAGGCCGATACTAGTTTGAACTATAAATGCCATAAATATTGACAAAAATGAATCTCATAGATTTTAATTCCAAAATATCATAACTGTTATTAAAAGAAAGGCTTTTGTTTTATAGATTTATAAATTTAGTTGGCACATAAATATTGTTAATGTAGGAATAAGAATTTAATAATTACTAAGCCAGTTTAATTGTTTGTGAACCCAGTGATAGCAATTTGTTATATATTTAGCTATTCTAATAGTTTCTATTATTTGTAATTTTATTAAAATCGAAATGTGATAAGTTGTACGACCTCATAATAGAATAACAAAACATCAATGATAATTCTGCACAGTGAATACAAATGCATATTATTACATTAGGCACACACGATGAGCATAAAAGTGGTTTACCCTAAGGGACTATGGTGGACAAGATTCGATTCAATAAAATCGGAACATAACGTATGGATCATTCGAGTCCCATAGAATGCGATGTATCTGCAACAAGAGAAAAGTATGGAGTGCCATGGACGGATGCTAGAAATTGGATCGCCCTTTCTGAAGAATTTTTATTACAACTTAAACACGCCAACGAGTAAAGGGCGGTGTTACTAGGGGTTGTGGACCGGCGCGTAATCTATTAACTTCAATATTGGTCCGGTGAAGTGGTGAAGTAGTGTTACAAGTTGTGGGGACTTGGGGATCCTTTACTTATACGTACAGATCAAAAGGGTCATTTGGACCCTCTATTTCTGCAATAAAAAAATGTTAGCTCTCTACATACTTGACAGCGTGTATATTTAATATTGCCGTACTCTTCTTTCAAGCATTTCAGGAACCCTTTTGAAACTCCCTTCACCTGTTTTTTGTTATAATATTAACGCGATATCTATTGAATGTCATCAGACTGTAACATAAGTAGTATGCGATTTCTTTGGTATTATTTTGAATTATATAACATTAAAATTCATTAATCAGTCAAAAACTCAATAAATTAGTTGATATTCTTAGAAAACATTTAAATTACTAGTGGATTAACAATTAAGATCTTTACCAAGGCTTGGATCTTTCAGCGCTAAAAAACATAAAAATAAGCAACAATAATTATTGTTAATTATTGATTATAATCAGTGAAATACATGTTCATATAAGACTATAGTCTTATAATATTAATATTTATTATTATTCTGTGTTTTTTATCCTAGTATACTAGGGTAAATTTTTGAGGGGCTAATTTTACTTGTCCTTTCATAATAGAGTGTTTAACAAATTTTTATACTACCAAAAATATTAATAATGATTAAGGACTAATACTCTATTTTTCGATTTTAATTTTGCTAGTAAAAATTATATAAAGAAATATATGTACATTTATAATATGAATTTAATTATTGTATACATACAGAGAGATCGATTTATTCTAAGTATATGTATGATGGCACTTGTACCAGGGTAAAAAGCGTAGGAGTAGTATCAGAAGGTTTTCGGGTAAGAGTAAGAGTGCAACAAGGTTCTGCTTTAAGCCCTTATTTTCTATAGTGATGGATGAAATTACTAGAGAAATACAAGGAGAGGTGCCGTGGTGCATGTTGTTTGCTGACGATATAGTAGTGTTAATAGGAGAAAATAGGGAGGAAATTAATCAAAGGTTAGAGGTATGGAGATCAGCTCTTGAAGAAAAGGGTTTAAGAATAAGTAGAAGTAAAACAGAGTATATAGAATACGAGTTTGACAAAGGAGAACACGAGGTAGGTGAAATGAGGAGTTGAGTTGACAATAAGCGAGGACGTGATTGGAGAGGTGGAGGGTTTTAAATATTTAGGGTCAGTTGTGCAAAAGAGTGGTGGTATTGACGAAGATGTAAGACACAGAATTAAGTGCGGGTGGTTGAAGTGGAGAGAAGCGTTTGGCGTCTTATGCGATAAAAGAATTCCAATGAGGCTGAAAGGTAAATTCTACAAGACTGTAATAAGGCCATCTATGATGTATAGTTCAGTGTTGAACGGTTGATAAGAAAGTAGAGCAGAGAATGAGTGTAGCAGAGATGAGATTGCTTAGACGGATGAGTGGAGTAACTAGAAAAGATAGAATAAGGAACGTGCATATAAGAGGGAGTATAGGTGTAGCGTCAATCGTGGATAAGATGAGAGAAAATAAACTTGGTTGGTCATGTTATGAGGAGAGAAGAATCGGAAGCTGTAAGAACATTTATAGAAATAAACGTTGAAGGAAGAAGAGGTAGACGAAGACCAAAAAAGAGATGGAGGAATGCTATTGAATGCGATTTGAGGACAGCTGACGTGAGCGTAAATGATGGGGAGATCGTGTCAAGTGGAAGTGTAGGATAAAGGTGGCTGACCCGAAGTAGTTGGGATTAAGGTGAGGAAAAAGAAGATCGGTTTATTCTAAGTCACTTGATTACTATCATAATAAATAAAATATTGTAAAAAATATTTTTGGTTTTTCTTTGGGTTATATATATTTCTTAATTTATTAGTTATTATTTACTTTTTAGGACCATTCCTTATAACGTATAAGGGTGTTAAAATTATTTTTAATTGGTATTAAACATTTATTTAACTTATAAAATAGAAATTTATCTAATTAAAAAAATAACTAGTCGATAACAACTTTTGTTATCGAAACTTAATAGTTTAGATATTATTTTCATTTTTATACGTAAACGGGATGATGAGTAAGGCTGGGATACGACTAGTAGGAATCGTCAACGATATATTTTTGAGTATCGATATCATACCGATTTTTAGCAATATTAAAATGCAATATCCAAAAAAAATTGTTCTCAATATTGTGACATATCGATATCAAAAAAAAAGTTATATTCAAAAATTAAATTTGATATTTAAATGTTTTCATTTATATTTTTATTTTCAAGAATACTGTTAAGTTACCACTGTTGTTATAAAAATTAGATTATGGTATACCAACCAAATTTGCCATTTGCACGTAGAAGATAAGTCAACGGGACAAATCTTTTTTTAAATTATAGTGCGTAACATAAGTATTAATTTAACATATGATTAATGAACGCAGTGTTACCGGAACATTTTCAAAAGTTAAATTGAAGAGTAAACTTTTTGAGAAAAAGTAGCTACTTTGAACCTGCTTGTGTGGGTAGGTTAAGGGGCAGGTTTTCAAAAAAATGTATAAAATAAAAATACCTAAAATTTTTATATACATTTTTTTTTATTCGTTCATTTTTGAAAGTTATGGCAGTTTTGAGTAAAAAAGTGTCAAACTTCATCAATTTTAAAAATTGTAATTTTTGGATTTCCCTTATTTACACGGAACGAGGGAAAATCTTTCAATTTTTAAGTGCAATGTAATCTACTAGATACAATTTATGATCTTATGACGTATGGTTAAAAGAAATCGGTCTTCGCATGGAAGCTAAAAAATATTATAAGTGCTATTTTTATTTTTATATTGCTTAATCACAACTGAAAACAATTTATCTTCTTTTTTAAATCAATTTTTCATCTTTTTAAAAATAAAATTTTAACTTTCATAGAATAAAATAAAATAGAAATATATCTTGTTTATTACAATCATCTGTATATCATCAAATTCTGAAAATCTATCTCTAAATATCTTCATTCCTTACTTTGTTCGTGTTTTTTTAAAAATATGAATAACAATAAAAACCTAATCTATTAATTAAATTTTGTTTCAATAAATATCATCTTTCGTCTCATCATAATTCTATGTATTATAATATATTTTGATACAAATAATGTCAACAAGATTATCACTAACTGTTTTTGAACTAATATTTAATAATATATATTTTATAACAAAGTGACCAAAATTCAAATAAAAAAAAAAACAAATTTTTACGATTATTGAGATATTGTGGAAAAAATGAAAGGAGTCGGCGATATAGAATCGAAATATCGACATCGTTGACAAAATCTAATGATTAGTGATTTCTATTTTTTATAAGCTAATTAAATATGTATGTTCAATTTAAAAAAGTAAAATTGACACCCTTATAAGGTTTTAGGAATAAATGATAAAAGTAATTAATTTAGCTAATAAATCAATCATTCTGTATGCAACATTGTTTTTATATTATTGGATATATCTAATAGTATATTATTATATAATCCATTCTATTTATAGATAAATTATATGATAAAAATAGAACGTCACTTAACAATACCCACTTTCTTAATTTTTTTTAATTAAAAAGTAAAAATAATTGTTTATCTCAAAATATAAAATTTATGCTTACAACTATATATATTATTTATTTATTATGATATTATGATAGTATTTTATAGCTTATGAAAATAAAAACAAAACAATATTGCATAAAAATACCTTGAAAAAAAATAAGAATTTTTTTTATAAAAATTGCTTTCTTGTCTAATATGTAAAAATATAATAAAAATTTAATTTTTAATTAAGTATTGAAGCACCTTTCTGTTCAAACCATATATGTTTAAAGGAAATAAAAACTAAATTATTTGGTATTAGTTGGTAATATTATTAATAATATAAACACATCATTTTAAAATACATTCTAATTTTGTTTTATCCTTTTTGTTATAGGTTTATCTTGAATATCATTATTTAAAAATTCTTCAGTTCTTTTTAGTTTATCTATCATTTTTTTATGTAGGAAAATCATTAAATCTGTTTTTTCTAATTGTGTAAAAGATTTAATTAAATCTTCTAATGTCTTTTTTGTATTCTTCATTGGAGTATAATCAGAATTTTCAATAATACAACTATTTGGTTCAATAGAAAATAAATGTATTGAATTTACTGTAATAATCCAAATTTGATTACTATAAGATGCCATGTTTAAAACAATACTGTCAAATTGTAACCGTCGAATATTTTTAAGAGATATTGAATTTTCATTTATTTCTTTATTCACTATTTGGATTTCATTTGAGTCATAAAATTGTACAGCAACCATGTCACCAAAAGAAATTATACTTCGAATAGGTTTTTGAACATCTAAGTTGTCAACTAATTCACCATTTTTTATATTCCATAGTTTCAATGAGCTATCACCTGAACTTGAAAGAATAAAATAGGTGAATAAACATAATCCACTAACAAACGCTGTATGTCCCATCATATAGTATATTATGTTCTTTCCATTTGGATAATGTGAAACTCGTACTTTTTCATCACTATCACATGTGATTATATATTTTTCGTCATTGCTAATACAAATATCTAAAACCATTGAAGAATGCCCAAGTATTCGAACAGGATGATTTTCAAAAGCATAAACATCTCCTTTTTTATCACCAACAACTATAGTATGTGTTTTAGGAGTAAATATTATTTTTGTGGCATGTTTTAATAATGTTTTGTTTTCTACGAGGGACCAATCATCAGCATTCCAAATGCTTAATAATTTTCCCTTATTAGGATTATATGCAAACAATTTTTCATTACTTGAAAATGTAGCACAAGCTTTTTGTAAGTCATAATTATTTAATGGCATTTGATTGTACGCTTCACCCAAATGGTCAGTCAAGTTTTTTACTTCCTTATTGATGAACGAACACACATAACATTTGTCTTCATTAATTGATGACAAAACAATAGAGTTTTTACTCACAACGACACAAGAAGTCATAATTAATTTTTTTTATTTCTTCAGTTAATTGAAGTAACAGTAAGTAAAAATGTTAAAATATAAAGTATAAAAATGAATTAAAAGTGGTAATACATAATAGTACATTTAAAATTTAAAAAAAAAAAAACACATTGAAATTTGATTATATATTAAGAATTAAAGAGATAATGTATTATCACTTTTCATAACTCACGTGCTCGGCTATAGAAGGTAAGGTCGTCGAATTCAACACTTCACACACTATTTCAATATATTCGCTAACTGAGTCAAAAACATTTCAGATGTTTGTTAAACATTGTTTTTAGGGAAATTAGAGGGTACACAGCAAAAACATATAAACACATGTATTTATATGTTTATGCTATAAAGTTATATTGTTTATATTTGTATGTATATGAATAACCTCAAATTCTCCTAAAAGCAGTTCTTTTGCGGACAATACGTGAATGCTTTCAACTCAATTAACGGAGATATTGTGCGGAGTGTCGAATTCGGTGACTTATCTTCTGGGGCCGTGGTTCATGTATATGTAAATAGATAAAAAATGATTTATTTTATTCAATCCACAATATAGATAAGATTTTATCTATTTTGAGTTTACATTATCATTAAGTCGTGGCGTAATAAACTATTAATTCAGCAAATTAAATGCGCCTATAAAATGTTGGTTAACATGCATTATTTACAAGTATTTATTATCTTTTACTAAAATCTATTCATTTTATAAATTTTTAATCATATGCGCCTTTATAAGAAATTTTCAAGAAGTAATATATATAATTGTGATATGATTTTATTTTAAACTTTGTTTTTTTCAGAAACCTATTTATGAATTAAGTATAATAAATAATATTATTTAAAATAATTATGTAGTATTTTAAATAAATGTCGAAACTAATAAGATATATTAAAAATAAATTCTAATGACGGAGACTCCAAAAAATAAAGTTTTGAATCAGAATATTGGGAAGTCTTCACCAGCTCATGGTAGTATTTCTCAAGAAATGTAAATTGAAATTAGTGGATTGTAAAATCAATTTTAAATTATAGTAGTGGATGTATATGCTGGCCGTCCAGCACAAGGACATAGTGGGAATTTGACTGGTAATCGAAGAATTTTGAAAGATTCATCAGCTGAAATATTTAATTATATGCAGAACTGGAAACTTTATCAAGATAGAGGATGTGTTGTTATTTCAAATATTTTCAATTTGCGTTTAGAACTGTAAATAGTTATTAAATATAGTTATAATTTATCAAATACTTAAATAATATTTTTTTTAGAACTGGAGTACGGTTCCCCGATCGCTTAAGTGGTTTAGTCAATGAATTGAAAACATTATGTGATAAAATGGTATAAATTTATGTAACACAATTAATTATACATTTAATTAGTGTACCTTTTTTTAATACATATTATAAATTTTTTAATTTATAATTCTTAGGCAGAAGTTGTTAAAAATTTAAAAATTAAATTGAAAAACCTCATTGCAGTATCAGTTTTAGAAAAATCAAATGCTACCCCACTATTTATATCTTGGACAGCTGGACATTTTTGTATGTTCTTGGTCAATTTTTTTCTTTGCTAGCCAGTATTTATGTATTTTAAATTATACTCCTAGGTAAAGTAACTGAAGGTCTAGTTGAAGCTTACCAAAAAGAATTAAAACTTCATCAAAGTTTATTACTTAGAATAGCTGATTGTACAGATCCTAATGTATTATTGTTTTACCTTTCTTGTTGGACATATCAACCATACTTGGATCACAGTATTGAGAAACAATTGCATTGCATGATAAAAGAAACAAGACATGTGTAGTATAATTTGATTATTTTTATATTTTTTAACAGTGAGATAATATTTATGTTATAATATTTAAAATGTAATTAATAAATATAAAATGTTAACAATTAAATTAAGCTATAATACTTATAAATCAAAAATATTAGGAGCACTTTCTTTTGCACATTTACCTACAGATTCAATAAATTTAACAAAGCCAGTATCTTTTGGCTTTTCAAGACCTCTTAATAATCTATTTTTCATTACTGCAACAAATTCTCGATTACTTAATTGTCCATCAACTAAATTAAAGAATAAAATTATTTTATTTGATCTTAAAATAAATTATTAAACTTAATGCAATTTGTTTTTACATAAGGATTGTAAACTTACGATTTTCATCAAATATTGTAAATATTACATCAATAACATGATCATTTAACTCAACATGGGCTACTGTTTTTGCAACATGTTTTAAAGTTGCTAAAAATGAGAAATAAAATTAGAATAATGAATTTAATAATTTATTTTGGTAAATCAAAATAAATTACATACATTTTTATACTTTAATATTTTATTTGTTATAAATAATGAATATAATACTAGTATAATAGATTTAAATTTAATTATTTTTCTATTAAAAAAAATGGTTTTTTGAGTTTTTAAATACTGATAGTTTCTATACTCTATACAAATTAAGAATACATCAGTTTATGAAAACTTGTCAATGGCAGTGCATTTTTATATAAATCCATACTTATGAATTGACATACATCTGACAGCCAGTAGCCAATCAAAGCATATTATTTATTTGAGTTGGTGGAAATGAGAATTAAAATTCTGGTCAATTGAAAGTCTATGAGTGGTGTATTCCTAAATTGTATAGAATATAATATATATTTTAATATTTAAATATATATTAATGCAATTAATAAGTAGTTTTGGTATAATTTTTTGTTTATGCCACAAAATAAGCTTTTACTGGTATTACATACCCTTTAAATTATCATTTAAAGTGTAAAAAATACAATGAGGAATATCATAATAAATTCTTGTAGTATGTTGATTAAATGGAATATTATGAAATTTTCAGAAAATATTTAATGACTTTCTATGAATAGATGAAACTATACCCTGGGCCTAAAATAATGGGTCCTTTAGTTATTATTAAAAAAATGACATTCTTATTATAATTCTATGAATAAAAAATTAATTACTGATTGTAAAAATAATTCTATTATAGTGTCATACAGCATATCAATAGATAACGCCTCATGGTATTTTTTTATAATATATACCAAATTATACCTAAGCAGGATAGAGATGAAATTATTTATATTGCAAATACACTGTTATACTTATATTAGGTGACATAGTAAAAATATCTCTTACATATATTTCCCTATCTATTATAGCAATTAAAATACAATTTAGAAGTTCATTTCCTCCTTCCCCTAAAAACTATTTTAAAATAATATATAATTTTCAATATATTTAGAGGGACTAATTTTATTTTTGTGGAGATTTAACTTTTGATTTAACCTCTTATATTGCCTATGCTTCCTACTCAATCCTAAGTACGCTGAAAGGGTATATATCAAGGTATCCCTAGTCTAACAAAAATATTTAGTACCTATGCATAAACTCTACTTTCAACTATATTATATTTACTTAAATAAATAACAGGATATAAAAATGGCACCAGTACATTTTAATATATGCATATGATTCTTTTAATTGTATACATATTTAAAGAAATTTAAAAAACACATTAAAAAAAGAAAAATATGTGATAAAGGTTAAAAAAAAAAATTTTTTAACTGTCTTGGTTTGGTATAGACTTGCTCCTTTTAACTTACAAACCATGCAAATGATTTTTGTTTATTTATTTATCGTAACTAACCTTGATCAATTGATGCACCAGCAATATGGTAAAATGTAAGTGCTGTGTCAACATCATTAATGTTGTTTAAAAAGTGGAAAAATTTCAAATAATCATCTTGATGAATACCTTTTTTTTTATCTTTAAACCTAAAATTTCAAAAGAGTAATCTTATTTGATTTATAATTTTAAATAAAAATTAAGTTTCTTGACTTAGACACCAGTGTAAATAAATATTTCATTAGAGATTGCATTGAACTTTAAAATTAATTATTTTTAAAAATAAAGAATACATATTTTTATTAAAGTTAATTGTCAATGAAAAATTAATTACTTGATATTCATAAACATTAATCATTGTAATATATGTTATTACAATAAAAATGATGTAATTCTCCAAATTTCTAACCTTAAATTTGTATAAAATATTATTGATAAAGATGTCATTTAATGATTTGTAGTATAAATAAAAAATATATTACTTAAGAGGGTGACTACTCCAAAAGAAAACTACTTTTCTAGATTATTAATTTCATGACACCTTACATGAGATAATTGATGTATAGAAAAAGGTAATTCTAGTAGTTAAGATTTCTTACATATTTGTGTAAAAGTAGTTTTTATTAGGGTGAGAATTCATTTGAATTGAAATAATTTGTTAAACATAAATATTAAGATGAAAATAGGCAGCAAATTTTGATCTCACATTTTCTCGTTATATTGTAAAGTTTATTGGCATTTAGAACAAACTTTTTTTACACATGAAAATAATATCAATAACTATTACTAGATAGTAGCAAAACTAAGACTAATTGTATTAGCACCTATAATAAATAGAGGAATTTTACTACTTAGGTTATGGTGATTTAGAATCAAAATATTTAAGTTTTAAAATTACTTTTTCTGTAATTTTAAAATGAAAAAAAATTGTTGTTTTTGTTTTCCAGTTAAGCAATAAAATTGTCACTCATTCCATTTTGCTTAAAAACCATTGATATTATTTTCAATTAAAATAATGTTTATTTTATTTAATCAATGATATTAACATACACTTTTTTGACTCGTTTGATTAATCGAGATTTTTTTTTTGGTGGATACCCAGCATAAGCTAAAAGAAGATCTGTAAATTCTACTTCCGTAATAGTGCCATCGTCACTTGGTTCTTTCCGTAAAAACTAAAAAATAAATATTTAACAACAAAATAAGTTAAATATATTTCATTATATTACCTCTAAACCAAGTATTTCATTTTGTAATTGTTGTTGAAAATCCAAGAATTTTTCTATTGTAAGTTTTTCATTAAGATTTTCACCAAAAAAGTAAGTTGTTAATGCTGAATTAACTCCCTATTAAACAAAAGAATATTTATCTAATTAAAAATAATAATAAACAATTAAATTGAATTAAAAAAGACTCAATTTAAAAATTAGGAGATTTATATTTTTACTTTAAATGTATTGCCTGTATTGGCATGGTCTCTATGGCGAGTTCCTATACTTGTTTGGTTTCTAATAAGTGTAGCAACTTTTTGAAATTCTTCACAATCAACATCACCATCTCCATTCAAATCAAACATTCTGAATGCTATCTCAAAATGTCTTTTGGAGGCTAAAATACAAATAAACTGATACAATTTTAAATTCAATTAAGTGTTAATTAAAACTAATAATTAATTATTTTTATTTTATTATTTTATTAAAGTAAAATTAATATGTACTGTTAGGGGCTTGTTTAATAGTTGAGGATCTTGGTCAAAACCAAGAATCGGAAGCTACCCGACGTCTGCCCAAATATCGTCCCTATCTCCTTAAATGAGTTTTAATTGCCTTTAATTGTAGGTATATCCAAGTGAGACGGAGTTGGTTGGCTCTGATGACAATTGGCGATAGACGGGTCATTGAATAAAACAAGTTAAGTTATAAATAATATAAATAAGACGTAAGTAATAATATTGAAAACTATGTCTATAACGGGCACTCAAACACAACTGCCCTTTGTTAGTTCGACATCAGTAGCTCCGGGCTATAGACAAGTAGAATTGTCACATCAGCATCTCCCTCTATGCTAATTAATATGTATTACGAATTAAATAAATAGAAATAAAACGTGTGTAATATAAGTGGTAAGAACATAGTAATAAATGTTCTTACAGTACTCAGCTAAATATTAATGATAAAAGAAAACTAAATGAACATGTGATTTAATATTTTCATAAACTGATATTTCTTTAGATATTATGTTGTACTAAGAAAATAGTATTACTTACTTAATAATATAAATAAACAGTAAACTTACTTGATAAAACAGTAAGAAGAAATATATAATCTGAAAAAGTTATAAGTCCTGAACTTCCTAACTTGTAAAAAATACTATCTTCACTTAATGCTAATTCTAATTTCATATGATTACTCTGAAAAAAAAAATTATGTTACAACTAAAAACAATCTAGAAAACTTAATGTTATAAGTATGTTATTTAGTTTGAATGTGATGATGAGACTCCTTTTCAATAGTATGCTACAATACAAAGATTAGGGCATGATAAATTTGTTTTTGAAATCCAATGCATTGATATTCACAAAAATTAAAGTTAGTTCTTTTTAGATGAAAATATTTATAGTAAAAATGGTAGCACAGTGCCGTTGCGGTACAATATTAATAGTAATTATATAAGTTTCTGATCAATCTAAAAAATACAATTTTTTATTCCTCATAAAACTTTCTATTTAATGATTTAAATTCTAAACTTGCAAGTTGAGCTAAAATAATGTTTAAAAGTTCAATATTTTTAAATTATAAACTTTCATAAGAATCAATTTTAAAGGATCAAAAAAATAATTTAAAAATGACATTTTGATTTGAAATTTGCAAGGATTATTTTGAACATATTAAGAATTAATAATAACTTGATAACACTTTTTTTTAATAAAATTTTTTCATGTGTAAATATTTGTTTTCTAATTAATAATAATCTTAAAAATGAGAAAATAGATAAAATCTAATTTCTGATTTGAAATCAAATTGAAAAATTTGGTTTATTAAAGTATATATTAGGCTATGATCATTAAAAAATATTTCATTTTAGTGATATGATTTTACTGCGTAAAACAAATTTTTTTGAAGAGACATTTTTTACAAAAGCATAATTTTAAGATATCTGTCTAAAATTCTAAAATTAAAGGATTTCTTTTTTATATATGGTGATTATAAGTTCAACATGATTAAAATTGTGTTCTTTTGGCGTATTGGTCATTACAATTGATTAAGTGAGAGCTGAAAAAAATCGTTGGGACAAATTTTTTTTTTCAATTTATAGCACATAACATTACAAAATGTCTTCCACTAGGTACAATTTATGATCGTTTGACGTATCGTTGAAAGAAATCAGTCTAATGAGAGCTAAGAAAAAGTGGCAACAGAAACAAAAAAAAAAACACATATTAAAATTAATACCTTTTCAACTTCCATGCTAAAACAATGGTAAGATTAAATATAATGATAGCTATAGATATAATGGTGTGGAGATACCTAATAAATTAATTTTAATCAAAGCTATTATGGAATACTGTATTAATATTATTAAATTTTCTTATTTCACGGAGAATGATTGAAGTTTCTATAGTAATGAAAAATGTAACTGATTTATTTAATTCTATTAGTCTCAAATAGTGCATTGTACCTAAACACATACTTATAACTTAAAGTAATAATAAAATACAACTTTTGGGTCATATTTCTTGTATTGATCAAGTCCAAGTCCATCTGGCTGCTTGATTCCTGGTGTCATTGATCTTAAAAAATCATCAGGAGTCATAAATACTTCATGAGTTTCTTGTCCATTAGGATGTATATGAGTCACTTGAAGAGTGGCAAAATACCTAAATACTTTGTCAGGAGTTGAAAAATGACGTATTCTGTTTTCATATTCTATTATCTATGTTAAATAAAAAATAATAATAATATTAAAATATCCAAACTAACATCAGTTTTATTTACTTTTCTATCACGAAAACCTATTTTTTCTTTAGAATTTTTCTTTTTTTTATCAACTGATTCATCTAAAATATCTTCATCATCCAGTTGGTTTTCAGATGATTCAACATTACTGTCAGCATCCACAGGTGGAAAAATAACTTCATAAATTCTAAAAAATTTTAGCTATTTGAAATTGTTATATATTAATATTTATTAAGAGTTTAATAATTGCATATTTGAACTAACATTTAACTTGAGTTTTTTAGAGTATTTTAAATGTTCAATATCTAATAAAATTTAAATATTTATAGTTAGTATTAATATCACATCATATAATAGAAAGTGAAAAGTTCATTATTGTTGGAAAAATTACTTATATATAATTATATATATATTAATATATACATAGAAAAACACAATTTAATGGAAGATTTATATTTTGCTATGCATTGAAGCTATTAATTTATTCATATAGGAATTATTGTAATATTATCCATGAAAAAAATTAAATAAGCTATTTAGACAAAAAATATAAATAAAATAGAAAATGTTGGCACATTTTAATAGTACAAATATTTTGTTAATTACTTACTTTTCCCAGTTTATAAAATGATAGGTACCAAAACAAATGAAAAATAATAGATAATATCTTTTGAATGGATGGTCTGGAGGTTCATTTCTATGAGCAAAATTTTTATAAGTGCGATACTTGTTGCATCCTGCTACTGCTAGCATGTTTTGTGTTTCTGTTTTTGCCAAGCATTGTTTTAATTTTAACCCAGAAGTAAATAAAGGCCGTAATTTAATGAAAAGCATAACTAAAGAAACAAAAAACATACTAATTCAATATAATGTAATCAGACAAAAATGATGTTACTTCTAATAGTTTATAATTATTTAATTCAACAATTTTTATGATATTTAATGTAAGATTATTAAGTATGAAATGAATCACTCCAAGAAAAGATTTTTTTTAATATGCTTTTTGCTTGTACCTTGAATATATAGTTTATTTTCACACAAGAGTATATTATTTCTAATAAGAATGTAAGCAGAATAATAAACTGAAAAAGTATAATAAAGGGTACATATTATAAGGTTTAAATAATATATTAAATATTACTTAAATAAGTTAATACAACAATTAATTATTTTAAAAATAAAAACATAAACCTTACACGTTATCGATATTAAAACTTTAAATTTTATCATAGTATGAATTAAAATTTTGAATCAGCTGTTGCTGATCTGCTTAATACGCATGTCAAGGTGGATTCATTAGTCTGCCTTGACGCATGTCTATTGTTATCAATTGCTTTTTTCTTATCTTTAACATACGGCAATTATTATTAATTTCAGGACACATTGCTATTAGGTGTAATTTAAATAATTGTTTTACCATTAGTGCCGGTCTTGTACTTAAAAAATACGTAATCTTAGTACTCTAATTTTTATGTAAGAATGGTTAACGGGGTTTTTGATTTTACATGGAAATTTTGGCCGAAAACAGCATACTGTCAAGAGGTAAAATTTCATATAACACTAATTGATCAACTTAATTTCATTAAAAATATATTTTTGATAGAATTAATTCGATAATTTTGATTATAATAAAACCTATTTGTAATAATCTGTCTTAGGTCCTTTTTAAACATGTTATATAAGAAAGTGAATTAAAATATATTTTAGTTTATTTAGTTTTGTAATGATGTAATTTTAGAAGAAAATCAAAATTTTCTTCAATAACTCATATATTATAAGATGGGTTTTAAAAAATATAATAATTTGTTATTAAATCATATAAATTATAATATTTTCTTAAATACTAAAAATCACTAATATTAAAAATGTAATTATAAGTTTTTAAATTACTGCATTTATTGTGTAAAATTTAACTTTTAACAAAATAATATTTCCAATTCCTTATCTGAAATTATATGTGCTTAATATGGATAAAATGTATTATTTATTATTTCTTAATTCTTTGTGGTTTCATTGAATTTTTCATTTTTACTTCTATAATTAAAAAAAATTATAATGACTTATCTTTCTTATAAGAAAAATAAGCAAAGTTTTTTATTTTGTACAATACTAATCTATTTATACTAATTTAACATAGGCTCACAATGGTCTTCCAAAACGTGCTACAACAGAGCAACTACTGGATATATTTAATAAAGTAAGTTAGTATTAGTTTAATAAAAGTATTTTCTGGTTATACTTATCATTTTCATTTCAGTATGCCACAGTAGAAAAACAAGAAGAAAAATTTATTAATGCTGTTGATTTCATTAAAAATTATATTGGTATATTGAATGAACCGTCCAGTGATATTGATTCATTAAAATTATTAAGTGGGATTGTAGACACTACTAAAGATGGGTTAGTTCTAATTATACAATAAACATATTAAACAACTTGTAGTCATGAATTTTTTCAGGCTCATATCATTTGCAGAATTCCAAGCATTTGAAAGTTTATTATCTGAGCCAGATGCATTGTATAAAGTAGCATTTCAGTTATTTGACATAAATGGCAATGGAGTTATCTCATATGGTATATACTTTGAAACAAATCTACTTTACCGGTTATCATTTTTTTAACATATGTTTTTTCATAAGTGTTTGAATAAATTAGCAGAAACAATTGATTTAAAAGTCATAGCATTTGAAGAATATGCACACCAAAAATAGTTTAAAATCATTTTGTTTTACTAAATAAAAAAAAAACTACTTCAAAAAAATTAGTTATTTTATGAAGATTATTTCGTAAAGAATATGTTTTTGAAAAATTTCAAACAGCAAAATTTAGGTTCCACCATAGATTGACCGTAGTGATGAGGAAAAACATAATGTAGATGAAGAGTTAGAAGACAAGTTTTAATTTTAGTTGTAATATAGGTGGGCAAGAACTGCCCATGCACTCAGACCTATTGGTCTATTGTATTTACCTTCCACTGAATTATATTAATTTGGTTTCTTCACATAAGTGTTTCTACCAAAGTGTTGTTGCCATTGTTGAATACCTATAACTATATTTAGGATGTTCTACTAGGCAGCATCTATATATATTCAAAGAGTCCTATTTCTCTAGTGGAATTAAGTATCTCTTTTGATTTTTGGTTTTTGATATCTTCTTTTTCAGATTTTCCCAAATATTTAGTTCTTAATGAGACCAGGGTGTCACATTCACACATAAATTTAAAATCCTGTAACTTTTAAATCCACTTACTTCCACTCAAAAATTATAATATATTCTTAATCTATATAAATAACTAATTAAAAAAAAAGGGTGCCCGTTAAAGTAGATTTATACATATAGTTTTTTAAAATTTAATTTAAAATAATATATTTATATATATATATATTTTGTCTCAAGATGAATTTGTGGCAGTTGTTAAAAAAACTGAACTTTATTTGAAAATGCCTTTTAATTTGGATAGTCAATTTATGAAACTCTATTTTGGAGAAAAGAAAAATCGTTTAATTAATTATTCAGAATTTGCTCAATTTTTACATGTAAATCATTATTTTCATTTTAAAATGTAATTAAATAGAAAATAACTAAATGTTGTGGTTGATCAGGATTTTCATGAAGAATGTGGTACAGAAATTTTTCGTATTTATGATAAAGGAGGTACAGGATATATTTCAGCTAATGATTTTCAAGATATCATGATATTATCAAAAAGTCATTTATTAACTAACAGTGTTCAAAATAATTTATTAGCAGTAAGAAGATATTTTACTTAACCATTTCTATTTGCTTACTATTTTTTTTTAATGTATTCATAATAGGCTGCTGGAGGGGGTCAAGGAGCTCACCGTGTAAGTTTTCCTTACTTTATGGCCTTTGTTTCACTTTTAAACAATATGGAGCTTGTAAAAAGAATTTATCTAAATGCTAGCAATGAAAGTCGTACTAGAGAAGTAACAAAAGGTATTATTAATTTAATGTATTTATATTTTCTTTGTTGAATCTTCTGTAAAAATACTTAAAATATTGTAGATGAATTTTTATATTCTGCTCAAGTAATGTCTCAAATAACTCCTTTAGAGGTTGACATATTATTTACTCTATGTCATTTATTATATCAAAGATCTGGGTAAGAATTAAAATTATTTTTTTTAGGTTTCTATGTATATATATATATTTTTTTCTAGAAAAATAATTTATAATGATTTGAAATCTATTACACCAGAACCATATTATAAAGAAATACACAATCGAAGAATAGCCGAAATTCATACTGTATCAGTAAGTAAATGTTTAGTTTTTCTTGAATAAAAATTGAAAAAAATTTATTTTCAATAGAGCCCATCTGATAGAGGAGTTTTCATTCAAGTACTTGAAAATGTCTATCGATTTACATTGGGATCAATATCAGGAGGTAATTTTACTAACTAGTTCTATAGCAAGATGCTGGCATTTTAGGTACACTTTGAATGTATTTATGTATCCAGTTTAAATATGGACACACAAACATATATGTGTGAGTAATGCCAGTTGCTCCACATCGCTCTAAATCTTTTCGTTCATACTCGTATCTTATTTCTTTGTATACTTGATGAGCTACTCCATAAAGTTCACCTATCATTAAATTTTGTTTAATTTATAATTTTTTAGCTATTGTGATCATTTTAATTTTACCTTCACATATAAGAGGACCTCCAGAATCTCCATCACATAGTCCCTTGCCTTTATCTTGTTGTAAACATATTATTTTTGATCTTTCCCAAGCAGTAAGTCCTGGACATGCTTGAGCTGATATAGAAGAATATACCTTTAGTTTATGCAATATTGTATTTTTACGACCTGGAGGTCTATCAATTTCTCCCCATCCAATAGCTGTACAGGCCATATAACCAATTTCAGGGAATCCTTTGTCTGATAAGTGTATAATGCCAACAGCATTTGTTATAATAAATGCTTTCACTTTTACTAAAGCTATATCATCATTGGCCACTTGTTTAACCTAAAAAATAAAAACTAAATTGTATTTGTTAATAAATTTAACATTTATTCATAAAGGTATTAAATTATTGAAGGTACTCTATAATTTGGATGGATGTGTACTTCTACTCCTTGTCTTATTTGAGCATTTTCATTTAGTTGAGCGTAGTTTACTAATCCAGCTATTATTTTAATGTCATTTGAATTCAAACCAACTATATAGTTCTTACCAAAACAATGAGCTGCTGTCAATACCCATTCTTCAGCTATAATTGCTCCAGAGCATGACAGTGATTTATGGTAAATTACTACCAAAAATGGGAATTCAAAAGTTTTAGCTACCTCTCCACCAGCTAAATTTATTTGCTTATTTATTTGATTTATTGCTGGCATAATGAAAAATAATAAAGTTAATATTAGTACTAATACTAATGATATTGGACTGATGATGGGTTTTTTAATTATCATCATTGTCTTTGTAACAAAACATTGAGATTTCAATTTTGAAAAATAGAAAAACCAAAATATCAAATGAAATTAAACATTTTTTTGCCTATAAAATTTTATTTTTATACATTAATCATAACCATAACAACACAATTTTTTTGGTATCATTAAAAATACTTTAAATCTGCATTATTTTATAGCTATTGGGGCAACAGCAGTATATCCAATTGACTTGGTTAAGACAAGAATGCAAAATCAAAGAGCTGGATCTTTTATTGGAGAACTCATGTATAGAAACAGTTTTGACTGTTTCAAAAAAGTCAGAATTAGTATAATTTTTCTTGTTATTATTTAATTAAAGGTCTAATAGATTGAAAAAAGTCAAAATTAAAATATAAAAATATCTTTAAACTTATAGACTAATTAAGATTACAAAAATCATTATTTTGCCACATTACTGTAGTTCATCTGGAAAATAGCTAATTATATTTTAGGTTATAAGACACGAGGGAGTTTTTGGCCTGTATAGAGGATTATTACCTCAGTTAATTGGTGTAGCCCCTGAAAAAGCTATAAAATTAACAGTTAATGATTTAGTGAAAGATAAGTTCCGTAAAGAAAATGGTGATCTTACTGTATCGGCAGAAGTTTTAGCTGGAGCTTGTGTATGTTCAATTTGACTTGAAAAAAAAAAATAAATAATTTTGATATTTATCTTTAGGGTGGATTTTCACAAGTAGTGTTCACAAATCCTTTAGAAATTGTGAAAATTAGATTACAAGTTGCTGGTGAAATAGCATCAACCAAGAAACTTAGTGCCCTTAATGTTATAAAAGAGTTGGGATTTTTTGGATTGTATAAGGTATTTAATAAATCTTCTTTAAAATGCATTATATATTTGATCATAAAATGTAATTGGATTTTAGGGAGCCAAAGCATGTTTTCTCCGAGATGTGCCTTTCAGTGCTATCTATTTTCCAGCTTACAATCATGTTAAACAATCTTTTGCTGATGAAAATGGATATAATCATCCACTTTCCTTATTAGCAGCTGGTTGTATAGCAGGTGTTCCAGCTGCTTCTTTGGTAACACCAGCTGATGTAATAAAAACTCGTCTACAAGTTGTAGCTAGAGAAGGCCAAACTACTTACAATGGATTGGTCGATTGTGCACTGAAAATTTACAAAGAAGAAGGTCCTCGTGCATTTTGGAAAGGAACTGCTGGTTAGATATTTTTCTAATTGTTTTTAAATTTTTATCAAAAAAATATATTTTATTGTTTTCATTTATTAATTATAGCTCGTGTTTGTCGGTCATCACCTCAATTTGGTGTTACACTTTTATCATATGAAATTTTACAAAGGTTATTCTATGTTGACTTTGGTGGCTCGTAAGTATTTTTTCCATTGCTAGCATTAAATACTCTTATTTGGGTTGTTGAATAGTAACTTAAATATAATTAGATTAAACCATGTTTAATTTTGAAAATTATAAATTATAAATCTGGTAGTTATGTTATAAAAAGCATTTATTTTTACTTTGTAATAATTGTTCAATTTTTAGAATGGCTAGTAATAGTTTGAGTTTTATTAATTGTATTGGTTTTGAAACTATTTTATTTGAATAATTTAGGCTGCTATCCAAAATAATACTATACAAAAATATGCCATATACAAAATAATAATTTGAAAATTTTTCATTTTTTTTTAAATATAGTCGTCCGTCAGGATCTAAACAACTAGTCACAATGCACAGTGCTGCAGATGGAACTGTACCTTCAAACCCAGATCATGTTGGAGGATATCATGCAGTTTTACCAATATTGGAAGGAATAGAGTCTAAATTTGGTCTTGTATTTCCAAAAAATAAACCTGTAAATTAAAATATAGTTCATGCAATGAAGTGGCCAATACACTTACATTCTGAAAATATATGATTGTTATTTTGTGATATTAATGTTTTATTTTTATCTGCGTTGTTTTAATTGGTTTTATTATAATATAAATTGCATTCATTTGAAATTTACCATACATACATATATATATATATATATATATAAATTATCATCTATCTCTTTGTGTCCTTATGAAAAAGTCATTATAAATTTTGTTATGTACAGGTAAAAATTGTTCATGTTATCACACAATAAAGATATTTTTTTAAATCAGTTTAAAAAAATTGTTATTTTTTTTTTAATTTTATGATAAACACTTCCTATATACAGCAAGAGAAATTAAATATTATTAATTTATTTATATTTCTTAAACTACTTATTCTTGAGTAATTTAAATAGAAAATTTGGTTTCATCTGATTATAAAAGTTTACTAATAGATCATTTTTGATGCGAGACATTATAATTCAGATTCAAATAAAAACAAACCAATCATACATATATAATATTAAAAAAGTCTTTTTTTGAACATTATTTTCAGAAAGATGAATTGAGAACTATAAATTAAGAATTACTAAAAAGACTTGAGAACAATTTTTGTTATGAATGATGAATTGTTTATGTGAGTCATAAACCTCTGTTATTACTGAGACTTATTAAATTATTTTTTTTATCTAAAATTATATTTTACAATTAGTTATTTTTATTAAATCATATTTAAAGTGGTAACATTGTATTTTTAGTTAACAGGTTATGTTAATTGTTATTTATCAGATTATTGATGATTAAGTGATGATGTATGCATTAACTTAAAAATGTAATTTTAAAATTTATTATAATTGTAAAACAGTGTTTTTATTTATCTAAATAAAAACTCTTCGAGACAAAACAAATGGCTTTATCTGTTTTATATATGAAATAATGAATATTTTTTATGTAAATTAAACTTTATTTTACGGTAGGTTTATTATTAAGTTATACTTGTATTATTGAGATTAACTTATATTAATTTTATTGTATTATCTTCTTATATAATAAAACAATGAAAAATTAGCCAATACTGGAAAAATTACTTAACGACGTATGATTTTCAATTTTTTTTTTTTTGATGAAAGCTTGACGTTATTCTAGAAAAATGATTTGCGAAGTTGAGAACATTTTTTTTAACATACTGTGAGCTTTTAAACATTTTATCAAAAACGCTCATTGTTCCCAGCGTTTTTCGATTTAGAATTTGAAATTTTTACTAGACCTGCCAAGAGACAATCCAAAGGTATCTTAAAAATTTCTTTAAAATTTGTTCATTTTTAACCGAGTTATGAGCTTTTTTCTTTTGTGTTTCTCGACACTCCAGGTCACGCGCATAGTTTTTAGTAGGATGTTATTTTGATTTGCGAATGTCAAAGTTGTTTAAATTTAATGCAAGTATACAAGTGTACTAATAACACGGTATTTAGGAGTACACCTAAATATTTTAGAGTCATATTATTAGGTAATTTTTTTATTATTTTGTGTAGCTAAAAAAAAATATTGTATAGGATGTGTAAAAAAATAAGTATTGTATGATAAAAAAGTTCATTTATTATTATTTTCATTTTTTTTTTTTTTTTTTTTTTTAGAAAATATACAATCTGTACCTACATTAGTACAATAAGCATATAGTTTGATTTAAAAAATAATAATTTACAATTGATGGAACTCTAGTGGCTGGAAAAGTGTAATTAGTCTATGTTAGCAAGTCTCTGCACCATTTTCTTTTTAAGTGACGTGGAGGGTTTTCAGGAAGATTATTGGAGGCCAGGTTGGCAATTAAATGATTCGGATGTCCCTGTAGTCTCATTCTTATAGTGGATTTTGGCTACTTCGACAACGGTTGGGAGGGAAGCGTCTTTGTGGAGCATTTCGTTAGAAACATAAGGAGGTGCAGCAAAAATTGTGCGTAGAACTTGTGGTTGGAAGACTTAGATTCTGTTTGTGTTGGGATTTTAGCTGAGCCCTAGAGTTCTATGCCATAATTATTTTCATCAATAACTTTTTTTATTTCCTTAAATTTTTTTTTTCTTGGAATAAATTTTTTATTATTATAGTATTCCTTACCATATCAACCAACTTTCTTTGTGGTAGGACATTTTCCTACAGTTTATACATTAAATGTTAATGATAATTTGTATTGATGTATTAGATTCCAATACAAATTTAAATATATGGTCTTTTATTTGAAATTCTAGATTATAGTACTCAGAATGTACAGTAGTGTAAAAATATTGTACGTTTTAAGGGGATTGAATCCCTATAATCCCCCAACACTATAACCCCAGTTAGATTACATAACTAAGTTTTCAAGCCTTTTAATATAAATTTGTGCTGGCTGATGATATTTTTAAAATAACTTAACAAAGTGGATAAATGCATATAAAGCTCTTAAATTATAAGTCAGTTATTATGGTTTTATTCAATTTTGTGACTGTTCGGAATTTTATAGTAAATATACTGATAGTTCCATGATTTTGATTATCTCTATAGAAAAAATGAAACGTTTACTTATAAGTGCTATTTTTCATGCCATAGGCTCTCGTGTTTTTTCGTATCGAGTTAAAATAACCTAAGATATTGACTCTTTTTTGAATATGTATTTGTATTAAAATTCAATTACATATTCTGAATATCTTTTTAACTTTTTTTTCAAATATTTATTTTAAACACAAAAAAAAAAATAATAATTTTTACAAAACTGTACATAAACAGTAGGCGCGGATATATATTTAAATATTAAAAATTGTATTTATATTCATCCGTTATGTCTAATAGAGATATCAACTTATAGAGATATCAACCCAACCGAATGCTATTTTTGTGTGAAAATTTTCGATTTTGTATCTTACATATTTAATTTTATTATGCTATAACTATTTGAAAAATGTATGGATCAATACAATTTTTTCATGAGAAGTAGTATTTATATACATCTTTTATTCGACATACTGTTTTTTTAAATCGGACCATTTCCCTATATTTGAGTGGGGTTCAAATCTAAAAAATGCATGTAGAAAGTAGAACTTTTTCAACTTAACTTTTGAAAGTGTTCCGGAAAGTCTGACACTTTTATATATATCTTAAATTAAAGTTAATGTAATATACTTTATTATGGTAAAAAAAAATTTTTATGCTTAGCGGTTAATGATACGTAAATATATGTCAAGACTTTTTATTTTACTAATATGTTTTCCTACAAAGTTGATTCCATAGTTTTTACGCCATCTTAATATTTTAAAAGATACACGCAAAATACTATATTTCTACCCCTTTTTGTCATTTTTCAACCCCTTTGAAGCACGTGAAGGAGTTGACCTAGAATACTCAAATTTTACGAAAAAAATTTTTTTACTACATAGAACAAAATGTAGAGTTCTCTCATTCGTTTTTTTAAAGTTGGTCAAATAAGGACCACCCTAATATACGTGTATTTATATAATTTTTTATGAGATAATTGAAATTCTATTAACTTTGAGGTGAAGCTCAGTAGATATTGATTTTACCATGATGTATTTTTTTTATTTTAATGTGGTAATAAATAACAAATTCTAGAATAATTATTTTTCTGAATACCTAATTTTTAGATAATACAAACCATGCCAATTAAAAATAGTTTCTAATCATACAATTGAAATATAATGTATAATAGTATTGTTAATGATATAGAACTATTTTAATATACATATATATATTATACATATATCTCCATTGTTCAACTGTTATAAAATATAATTATTAATAATATAAATATTTTTAATGTTTGTCCCATATACCGTAAAAAGGTGTTAAATATATTTTTTGAAACAGCAAAATACACATTTCAATGGCTTATAATGTAGAAAATGATGTATTATTAATAAAAAAAATAACTAATTGGTAACAAATTTTTGGTTCAGTATTTTAGAAATTATTACAACATTTTTATACCTAGATGGGAGAAGAAGTGAAAAGATTAAGTTGATACCTCTATAAGACATAACGGATGAACATAGATATAATTTTTATAATAGATAAATGGAAATTTTATGTAACTAACAAAAGCCAAAAAAATTAATTATTATTTTAAGAGAATTTGAGTGGCTAGTGTTAATTAGTGGGTTTTAGTTTTTTCATGCGTATCATGTCTATTGTAGCCTTTTATTTTTGATTCGTTTTTTGGATATTGATTTGATAATTTTTGAACGACTGAAATTTTTAATTTTTAAGGGTAATGTCTTTGACTAGATACGATTTGTGATCTTTTGACGTATCGTTGAATGAAATTGGTTCGATGAGAGCTGAGAAAAAGTGGTAAAGACACAAAAAAATAAACACATCAAAATTAATACCATTAAATATAAAATTTTCAAAAATGACCAAACCAATATAATGTTTTTTTTATAGATACAAGATGCCTTTACCTATCATTTGATATATTTTTTTATTAATTTGACCCTTTACCTGTCCACAGAAGGAATTCAAAATGACAACTTTTTCATAAAAAATTAACTTTTTCAACTTAACTTTTGAAAGTGTTCCAGAAGTACTGACACATTTATATGTATTTTAAATTAAAGCTAATGTAATATACTTTATTATGGAAAAAAAAATTCTGATTTAATTTTGTCTTCACGTTGAAAATGGCTTCTGTATGCTAATTTTGTGTTAAAATTCTCGATTTTATAATTATTTTTATTATTAAATACCTTACTAATTAATTTATTATGAAATACCTTACAAAGTTTTGGAGTTAGAAAAAAATTTTTAACTCATTTGATTTTTATCTTATTTATATTCAATAACTTTAATGAATATCAAGGACCCCATCACTGTAGTTTCTCCACGCTTGAAGACATTTCTTACTCATATTAAAGTTTTTTTTAAATCATTAATTTTTAAAGTATTTATTGTAAAATTAGGTTTGATAGGTTTCAACTAAAAAATTTAATAATTCTACTTCGTAATTTATTACTTTATTTATGTGTGTTTAACTAACAATCTATAATATTCCAAATTTTTTTTATGGTATGAAATTAATAAAAATTGCAATGGAATTTATTATTTGTTGCTATAACTAATATAATTAGTTACAACACCTTAGTATACAATATGTAAATTATAAAATTATGTATCA